CCCCAAAACCCCAAAACCCCAAAACCCCTTTTCACTTAAAAAATATTGAAAATTAGACAACTAGAGATCCTTACTTGGGAGGAGAGGCAGAGGGGATTTCTTAGGGCTTTGGAGCAACGAGTGACCGATTGAAGAGAGCTGAGAGGGTTTATGAGTGGGCAAAAAATTGTTTTTGTAGATGTTTAATCGGTCAAGGCTTCCTAAGTAGCTTAAATGACGCCTCTTGGCTTCTATAGGGTTGAGGTTTAGGGAGTACGTATAGCGGAAGGCTTTGAGGTGTGAGATTTGTATTCTTCAAGCTAAGTGTGTAATTTTTGGAAGATTACTTTAGTGATTTTGTTTAAGTTGCCTTTATTAATCTGATCATTATTCTCGATGAAAACACCTTTTCTCCATAAACCATCTTGGAGGTGCCCGCTATGGAATACTGCTTGGCCATATCCATCTCTTTGATCATGTTTAAAGTATCCTTCATAAATATCCCCATTGGAGAATTTGATAATTCCTTCACCATGCTTTTTCCCGTTTTTAAATTGACCTAAAATAGTTATATTGATCTACCTTCATAAGTTGACCTGTTATTATAATACATTTTGCCAGTTTTGGTAGGGAGATTCCCTCTAAAATAACCTTTATAAAAATCTCCGTTGTGGAACTCAATAGTCCCCTTTCCTGTGAAATCAGCATCTGTGAATTCACCTTTTATCTTAAGCATATCATGGGTGACCAAAGTCCCTGATTTTGGAAGGTCATGAACCCAGGTACCTACAAACTTTGCTTTATTAGGATAGGTAATGGAGCCTGGTCCATGTCTTTCTCCATCATTAAATTCTCCTTGATATTTAATACCGTTAGGGTATATTAGAATACCCCTGCCTTGATAGCAGTCATATTCCCAGTTTCCATTATAAATTTTTCCTGTTTTATACACCATTTCCCCACTTCCATGTCTGAATCTTCCCTTTTTCTGCCCTGTGTACTGATCTTCAGTAGGATTTGCTACTCCTGAAGGGGGAGATTTAGGAATCTGCAGGTTATGAATGCATAATTACCTTCTTTAGTCCTATTTCGGTTAACCTTTAGCTCTTTAGGAAATAGGAAAACAGGTTTGTCGACTATTTTCTGATCTAGCTTCTTCTTCAATTCAGTAGTATCTAATTGTAGCAAAGCTTTTGCAGTAGAAACCAATCCGAGTCCTGAAGATTCAGTAAGAAAACTTACTTTGAGAGATTGATTCTGACATTTTCTCAAATTTCAATATTTATTAAGTATATAGGGGTTTTGGGGTTTTGGGGTTTTGGGGTTTTGGGG